ATAGAAACTTGAATAGTCTAAAACCTACACAACATATTCTTCAAAGTTAAACCAATGCATATAAACGTGAGTTTTAATGTACACATCTAAAATTATGACATATCCATAAGTTGTTAACATTAGAAACCATACTTGTACATACATCTTAGGATAAAGTAATCATTTCATAATCAAATTAAGTTCATCACCTCAAATAGCATATTAATATAAACCAAACCAATTGAATGCACATATCAATTTTTCTAATATCATTAAGATGCTAAATGATATTTCAAAGTCATATTTAGTTAATAATCAGTAGTATTTATAAAATTATGAAAAAAATATAATTTTCAGATTCAATCAATTAATTTGTATTGAAATAATTGGAAGTAATACTTTCAAATCATGGAAAAATACTATATTGAATAGATTTAGTGCTAATATTAGGCATCAAACATTTAAAAAAATATTAGTTTTCAGATATTTACTTTTATCCATAGATTTTTTTCATTATTATTGATATTTTTAAGAATATAAAATAATGTAATTATTTCAAATAAAAACTTGACCATAAATTTAAGATTCTAAACATTAGCATCATAAACAGGAGCAGTCTTAATTTTTTAGTGGTAGATAGATTTTCAAAAATGCTTGATTTCATTGCATACAAGAATACTAACTATGCATGTCATGTAGCTAATAACTTGTCTAAAGAAATTATTCATCTATATAGAATTCTTGAATTAACTACTTTTGATAGAAATTTTAAGTTTATATCTACTTCGAGCAAACTCTTTGAAAAAGATTTGCCATAGTTTTGAAATTCAGCAACACTAGTCACCCCCAAACTAATGATCAAGTAGAAACTATGAACAAAACTCCTGAAAAATTGATTTATTATATTTAAGGAGAGAATTCAAAATAATGAGATTATATTTTAACTATACTGAAGTTTATTTATAATTTGATGGTTAATCATTTGACTAATCAATCTCTATTTTTAGTAGTATGTTATTTACTTGTAGGAATTTCTTTAGATCTATTATAAGTACAAAGGCCAATAGAAAATAACATTATTATAAATAACATGACAAACCATATCAAAGCAAGTAATGAAGACCTGATACACAACTTCACACTAAATTATAAGAAATATAAATTGACAACATATGAGAAAATGAGGAAGAATTTTGAACTTGGAGATCAAGTCATGATATACTTTCATGTTAGAATAGTGATATTGGGCTACATGTGAGGATTAGGTTATTGAGTTTACTAATCCAACTACCTATGGGTATCAGATCGAGCGACTTATACCACATTATTGGGCACACAATCTGACAACCAGAAATTGTGTATTAAAGGGTCATGAACCCTAAACCAAAAGTAATGAAGTTCTTTTCCTCTCTCTCACTTTCTAGTGACTCTCATCCTTGCTCGGGCGGCTGTGTCCTAGCCTAAGGTGCATACTTTTCAACCCTCTTCTTGAGCCATCTGACCTTACTACATTGAAGGTCCATGTGTGTTGAAACCACGAGCACTCAATTTTTCTATAGCTAGGATTCAAAGTTTCATCTTTTTTTTGGTTGAGATTGCAAACCTAACTCATGGCAGAAGTCCCTAGTCTATCTCCAATGCTAGTGAATACACTAGAGGAGTACCCTAGGTAGTTGAGCTCTTAAAAAGTCCTAACAAATATAGGTTTAATAGATTGAACCTCTTACAATGATAGGAATATGTGGAAATGATTTTACTTGACCAAAGGAAATTAAACTACCTCGGGACTAGTAATCCTCATAGCCCAACAGATCCACTACATATTTCATGACAAGAGGTAATGCCATAATCAAAGCATGGTTGCTAGAAAATATGGCACCATCTATTAGCGACCACTTCTTTTGGATTCCGACAGTGAAAAACATATGGGCAAAAGCTCACCATATGCACACAAATTGAAATGATGAGGGAGAAATCTCATGCCTAGCCACTAAAGTTATGAACCTTACTCAAGGGAATAGAATGGTGATGGAGTATACAACTAAACTAGAAATCATCTGATGATTATTATAGATCGACCACCAATTCAGATTCTATTGAATGAACTTACATTTTGAAGGATCACTTGTATCGATGCTTATCTTAACTTAAATTCACCATTTGTACAATTGGTTGGTCAATTGTTGAATAGGGAAAGGGTTATTGATTTTGAGGAAGTTATGAGAATTATTATGAGGGAAGAGAATAAGCTGACAATGTTAAGTGAAAATCAGCAAGGTAATAACTCAACATTGACAGCAAAAAACATGGCTTGAGCATTAGTCAACACTAGTTGTGGTTAGGAAGTAAAGAGCAAGACAAACTCTTCACATTCTAGAAAAGGAAAACAAGGCCAAAACCTCGAGTAAGTGATAGATCTAAAGGCAAATCTATGGTGCTCATTTTACCAAAAAAAAAGATATACTTGTGGAAATTGTTGAAAATTGCATGGTAAGCCTCCAAGAGTAGAATAAGGGTACATGAGTGTATCTCCCTCTCCTATCCATTGACAAGAAACTAGCTTTAGAAGCTCCGAGGGAAAGGTGAACTTGACACCTATCCTTCAACTAGCAAATTCTAAGGATGAGAAAATTGATAGACTCAAGGAGGAAATTGAGAAGCTGTGACAACTAATCACTTCAAGTTCCATAGCATCATCAACAGCCTCCTCAAGTAATTTCTCAATCTCTTACACTTTCCTCTCATAGAGTTTCCATTCTTCACATCATACAAACATGTATCTAAGAGATAGAGATACTTGGATCTTTGACTCAAGGGCCACTGATCATGTCTCCACTCAAAAAAAAAATCTAAATCTATGAACCACATTTTAAGGGTAAACAAGTATTAACCACGGATGGAAAGTTTATACTTGTAGTTGGTATAGGTTCCATATAACTTTCAAGAATAAAAAAATTCACCATAGTTCATGTGACTTTATTATTGGTAAAATTAATCTCTCTTAATAAACATAGATAATCCATCGCTCATGATCTTTTGATTACTCTTAATATGTTTTATATGATAAGGACATAGGATGGAGGACTGGACTTATTGAAGAGAGAACATGCTTATACTACATAGGAGGTATAAGTGGAACACAAAGGGTGTATCCACAAGTAGCACAAGCGACGAAGACCTCCAAGAGTGGAATCAAGGGGGAGTCACGAGTCAATTGAACCACTTATGTTACTTCATCACTACCTAAAATATCTCTCCATCATGACTATTAAACAGTTATTCTCACAATTACATCAAAAACTTGATGACAATAGTTTCTTATATGAGGTATGCTAATTAGCTAAGCATAAACAATCTATTTATCCTCCATCTAACTCAAGATCCTTTAAATCTTTTGACTTGGTTCATAGTGATGTATGAGGACCAGCACTAACATCGACAATTTATGGTTGTTGTTGGTTCATCACTTTTATTGATGATTGTACTCATGTGACGTGGGTATGGTTGATGGGTCATAAATTTGAAGTGACTGAAATATTAAATGTATTCTTTCAAATGGTGAAATAATAATTTAACATCATCATTAAATGTTTTAAAACTAATAATGCAAAGGACTACATCAATAAGGATTTAGTCTAATTCATTCTTATAAATGGAGTGATTCATGAGACATCTTTTATAAACACTCAAGAAAATGAGATTGTAGAGAGAAAGAATCAGCACCTATCATAAGTAACTAGAGCACTCCTTATCCAAGAGAATGTTCCAAAATATTTGTGAGGAAAAACTCTTCTTACAGTCACCCATCTAATTAATAAACGGTCATCAATGATTTTGGACAAGAAAAAGTCATATTGAGGTCCTAGAGTTTCATATTATGACGGTAAAACTCAAAACCAACCTCACACCCTAAGTATTAGGATATGTGGCATATGTACACTTATATCATACCAAGAAATTAGATCTGAGGACACTTAAGTGTGTATTCTTACGCTACTCAATAACTCAAAAAGGGTATAAATGTTATGACTTACAAACTAAGAAATTTTATATCACTCACCTTTAGAGGACACCACCTTCAATAAAGGTGAAAATTATTATGACCAATGAGACTTAGAGCCCTCACCTTTAGAGAGGATAGGTGATATGACCACATCTCAAGGAAATTATTTACTCCCTTTAGATGAGGGGGAGGCAAAATCACAAAAAATAAGTATAAAAAAAATATTTGGATAGAACTCAACAAGAAGAAAGAGTACGCAAACCCCACACAGTACTTCAATAGATGATCTAACTCATGAGACTGTGATAGATCCTCCATCAAAACCACAAGAAAATGTAGTAAACTTTCTGGTCCATCAAGACATCAGTAAAAATATTACTTATACATTATAGTATTTTCCTTGCATCGGTTATCTACAACCCACTCTTTATTTCTTACAAAAGTAAGCTCCATTCTCATTCCATCAACACCTAATAAAGCTATAAACAATGCAGAATGGAAAAAAAATGAATGTATTAATTAAAAATAGCACATGGGAACTATTTAAGCTCCCATGTAATAAAAAAACCGTTGGGTGTAAATGAGTATTTACCATTAAGTGTAATCTTGATGAAACAGTAGAGAGAAAAAGGCTAGATTGGTAGCAAAAGGATATACCCAAAATTCAGGTATTGATTACAATGAGACTTTTGCCCTAGTAGCAAAATTAAAGCACCATGAGGATTTTAATCTCCATGGCAGCAAGAAAGGATGCCAACTTCACCAATTAAATGTGAAGAACACTTTACTACATGGCTCTTTAAAAGATGAGATCTATATGGATATACCTTCAGGTTTTAGGGAAGAGAAAAATCAGCACATGGTGTGTAAATAAAAGAAATCTTTATATAGACTTAAACAGTCTCCCATGACATGATTTGACAAGCTCTCGATCACTGTGTGAGATGAACAATCGCCTAAGTAATGATAATCATACTCTAGAAATGAAATTTCTATTTTACCAATTTATGTTCATGATATGATACTTACTAGTGACAAATTTTTAGAAATAGAAGTGTTGAATGATAGATTATCTATATGCTTTGAAATTAAAAGATTATTAAATTTAAAATATTTTTTAGGTATAAAAATTTCATACTCTAGACATAATATTTTCTTATCTCAGCTAAAATATATCTTAGATTTACATAAAGAAATTGTAACTAGTGATAGTAAACTAGCAACCACTCCCATTGACTTTGACGATAAATTGGGTCAAGATGAATGCAGCCCACCAATCGATAGAGGAAGGTATCAGAGGTTGATTAGTCAATTGATCTATTTATTTTACACTCAACTAGATATTACCTATACACGCTCTTATTTCAATCACATGGGCATACTAATGTGGAAATATTAACTAACATTGATTATGCAAGTTCTATTATAGATAGACAATCTACTTTACAATATTACTTATTTCTAAGAGAGAACCTCATCACATGGTGCAACAAGAAGCAACTAGTGGTTTCAAGACACAACACGGAGTCCAAACGTTGAGCTATGACACAAGGGGTTTGTGAAGTATTATGGATTAAATGGATTGTACAAGACCTTAAGATCCAATATGGTTCACCCACAAAACTCTTATGTGACAAAAAGTCAGCTATAGATAATTACTCACAATCCTGTACATCACAATCAGACCAAGCATATGGATGTGGATTGTCATTTCATCAAGTAGAAGATAGAAAATATGATCCTTACTATCCAACAAATCAAATCCGAGGAGCAATGTGCACACATTTTCACCAAAGGATTACATGGACCTACCATGAGAAGATTGTTAGACAAGATAGGGATGAAAGATATCCATTCCTCAACTAGAGGGAGAGTGTTAGAATAGTGATATTGGGCTACATGTGGCAATAAGGTTATTGGGCTTACTAAGTCCAATTACTTATGGGTATCAGATTGAGCCACTTATACCACGTTATTAGGCATATAATTTGATAGCCAATAATTGTGTATTAAAGGGTCACAAACCCTAACCCTAAAGTAATGAAGTTATTTTTCCTCTCTCTCTCTCTCTCTTACTTTTTGGCAGCTCTCCTCCTTGTTTTAGCAACTATGCCCTAGCCCAAGGTAGGAGAAGCTCCAACATTTCACAAAGAATGATTTCCAACAGGTAGCTATAATAATTTGAAATCAAAAAAATATAGGTCATATCATATTCTACAAAAGATCAATAACAATACATACTTTGTCAAGCTCCCACTAAATATGACTATGTCACCTACATTCAATGCTAGTGACATATATGAGTATTATGATAATGAAGATGCAAAGACAAGTTTTCTTGAAGGATGAGAGACTAATGTTGCCTAAGAAATAGAAGCTAAAACCCAACTTTGAATTTAGGCCATAATATAAAGAGTGCTTTGAATGGTACTTTATGTCCTTTTTCTTCTAGAAGGTGCTTTGAATATCATTCAAAGTGTGTACCCATGATATGTTCAAGATCTTTGTCTATTAGAGTCTATTTCAAGTGATTTTAGTCTATTTCAAGATTTCCTTTTAAGGCTTATATAAAGGCCCCATTGTAACCCTAGGATACTTTTCAAGTGAAAGTAATTTTCTCCACTATAAGAGCTCTCCTTTTGCTTGTGGATTCAAGTGCTTCCTAATATATTCCAGGGTTGAAGACTTCAAACCTATAGATTCAAACATTAGTTTCTCTCAAGATTAGAGTTTGTGAATTCATGCCCCAAATCTTGTTATATTTTGTATTATTATTATGTCAAGAATTTAAGCAGTTGTCAATTAGGTGAGTCATTGTAAATATTTTGAGATCAAGAACTTAATGGATCACTGAATTCAGTGAGCCATTGAACATGATATAAGATCAAGTTGAGGGAGAAAATTATGCATTGCATTCAATATTCTTCAAGAAAAAGTATTAATTATGTGTAAATATATAAGCCCCCATATACTCTAATCCCCAAATTGCAAAACAAGCTAATGACAACATGACATATGTTATGTTGTAAATGGAGACATCTCTAATTGGCTTTTCTTCCACTTCAAGTGTCTATTACCCTATGAATGGGCAAATCACTCCATGACTACAGCCCCTGAAATCCTCTACTGTCAAAAATCTAGTGAGCAGCTTATATCTTTGAACCAAATAGGTTAATGCATACACACATCTAGACATTGTCGTATGGGTCTTACAAGTTGATCAATAGAGTTTAACAAATCTTTTATATTACTTTTACGAGATGTCAAATGCAATTCTCATTAATGACATTTCAAAGTTAGCGAATAACAATGAATCTTTCAATTAACCACTTAAGTTGTCATAGGACAGCTTGACCCAAAATCCAGTCCTGCAAGTTAGATCATTTGAATCTACACCAATCTAGATCAAGTGCAAATAATCATGTGATCATCAATTGATCTATGCATTGAATGTTACATCAATATATTATACCTAGGAATTAAAACTGAAAATTATTTCCCAAAAACCAATTATAGACTACATCAAGGAAGAAATATTTACAATCCCGTGATGTAATGTGTGATATGCATATATGTATGTATGAAGATTTCATGCATTTAATATCAACCCATGTTGGGTAATTGCTGTTGAAGTCCAAGTTACATTTGCATTTACACACACACATATATATATATATATATGTATAGAAAAAAAGGGAGAGAGGGCGATAGAGAGATAGGAGAATGAGAGAGCAAGATCAATTCATCAACTAAGCAAGAGGGAGGAGGGAGGAGTTTGCATAGAGGATCTCTTCTTTTCAAAAGGAGAAAATATTCTTTTGTCATCAAATGGAAATAAATCAGGCCGAGCACAGGTTTCGTAACATTAAAAATTACAAACGATCTACTATTCTTTATGGATCAAAATTATTACTTTCCAATTCTTTTCTAACACCTTTCAAGGAAAATCACCAATTGGACCCATACAAAATTAATGGGTTGTTGAGAGCTCATTCATGTGGTCATTGGCAACCAAATTATTTATCAACTAAAAAAATACACAAGACCTAACACAATAAATATCTTCTTGTAAAATTTAAACTTATTTAGAATAAAACTATTCCTTTACAAAATCCCCAAAAAAAAAAATCAAAAAAGGAGCTGAAGTGATATGAGAAGAACACTATTCTTTGTTAGTCCTATTTGTATAGGATTTTCTTATGTGTTTAGAGATGTCCCTTAAATATTGTTGAACTTTCCATCATTTTCTTTTCTTTTTCTTTTCATTGTGTTCTGTTCTTTCCCATTTTTCCTCTTGTTAAGTGGATCCATTAGACTATTAATGGATCCACTTATAGACTAATGTAATTGGCCTATCCTATTAACTCATTAACCTGTATTTAAGTGAGAAATCATAATAATCAATGAATGCGGGGATAGCAGAGCTGAAGCAAAGGTAACACCCAAAACAATTTAAATTTAAATTGTAAAATTTTAAAGGAGTAGCTCATAAATACGTTTCCCATCAGTCCTAGAAGAAGATTGTGAAGATCAACTCCTTCATTCTCCAAGTAGCTCATAAATACGTTTCCCATCAGTATAACGAGTTAAATCAATAGATACTCCCTCAACAATGTAAAATAATAGGCACCCAAGATATCTCTGATATGCATAAACAGTTCATCACTTACTTTAATAACAAAACTACTACTTTTGCAAATATAATTATACAACTTTCTCCTCACCTTTCATGATTGAACAAAAATCACAAAGACCAGCCTTGTTTAGATTAAAATAAACAAGAGTGACTGGTCACTCCTCAACATGCTGACCTCCCTTATCATCATCAAGTGAAAGCAAGTATACTGACTTAAATGGCAGGTAGCAACAGAGAAAACTATTCAACAACATTTCAAAGGCTTTTAATCACTTAGGAATCCAAATGGGATTCTTGAACGTGCATTTAATAGTTCTGGCATTTCCATTGGATAGAGTAACGACCTCAAAAAAAAAGGATAAATTGGTCATTAATCTCTCGAAAATTGTAGAACAATGTGATGAGCAGGCTCAGTAACATAGTCATATTGGTTATGATTGTTTAATTTGCTTGCGTGACAAAGAGTGGATTATAGAAACGTAAGCAATTATTAATGCGGATAGCAGAGCTGAAGCAAAGGTAACACCCGAAACAATTCCTGAAAACGCTTGATTTCCACAGGGTACGTCCCAAATGACCTTCTGTTCAGACCTCATACTCCAGCTATAGATCAAGGAAGAACAGTCCTGCAGCAAATGCTTTGGCTTGCAGACCATCGCCACATTAGGTGTCCCTATCTCCACTTTCGAGTAACCACGTGCATCAAGGGGCTGCAATGAAAACAAAAGCTGTTTTACTAGAAGCAGAAAGTGTCTCTCCAAAAATACCTAACAAGACTAAAACCAATAATTACGTACAATTAGATTATTATCAGCAGACTAGTATACATAAAAAACTAAATAGAAGTATGCACAGATACTTCTGTTTACACCTATGCACAGATACTAGTAATATTTGCGGGTAACAATTCAAATTTCCTGTCTGAGAATGTTAGATTAATCCATTAATAAGAGGATGAACACCCGCATGAAATAATAAATTCCAACTATTCAATTATAACTCACAGCTAGTCCTGAAACATTATTCTAAATTGTTTGCAACTATTTACTAGTTATGTAATTCGGAGTTTATCATTGATTTGAATACGATTTCAGATAGTTTAAATAAATTAAACTCGGATCTTCCCCACGGACGATTGTCAATGTTAATTAGAACCTAACAAAGAAAGAGTAACTGTGATTTATTGCATTTATACGATACATGATATGCCCAACTGTGGATAGATATCTGCCAGGCAAATTGGGCCCTACTACAAGAGAACCTTCTCTATTTCCGGGAAAGTAATTGGACCTCAAATGGCCTTTGACTTTGCCTAGTCTGTGTAAAAAAGACATTGAAATGTTGTTCTAACAGGATTTTCAAATGTACGTTACCCACACCATGCGTCTGTCTACCATACCACCTACAGTAATATACTATGTCGAATCTGTGCTGAATTCTGGTAGCATGAAAAGTGATCTGACAGTGAATGTATCTAAATTGAAACTGAGAGATGATCTTTAATGTGACGGCAAACACCAATGGAGCTAAAAGTACTACCTTATCCGCAGGGTCAAATGTCCAGCTGAAGAAAACTATTAGACATAACTGGAAAAAGTTACTAATTTGTTTTTAATTAAGGCATATTATTTCAAGGAAACGTACCAAAAGTAAAAGAATTCGAAGACAGAAAATTTAACTTACTGGATATCTAGCATGCAATGGCAATTCACTCGAAATGTGAAATATTTGGAGCTCTAACATATTAGTATGCCCACCATCCAAATGAAGCTCAAGAGTTGATCTATTGGAAAGAGTGGAAGGTAATTCCAGATTTGTATCTCCAAAAATAGCAGCATCTAAGAACACTGAAACAACGGTAGTTTTACCATTGGTTAAAGGAAATTAGATAAAATAGAAAAGAGATGATCATACGAAAAGAAAAAAATTACCCCCATTATGTACAAGACGATCTAATTCAAATGAGTCAGCAAAAACTCCAGCAGGAAGGCTTTCAATCAGAACAACCTTACAATAGTAAGCATCAAGCTCAGGTATACTATCTTGAAGAAACTCAAATCTCATAGACGAAACTAGACGGCGATGTGAACCATCTCCATTAAGATGTCGCTGCATGGCTGACACCACAGGCGTAGTGCTCTTACTATGTGGCACCCTTTTACATGAATCATGCGAACCAAATTCCTGAGATATTAAAGTTTTAATTTCTGCACTGCATTTGGTCTGATTTCCCTCAGAGAGGGAGCTCAGAAGATACCTCTGTGAACAAGGAAGACAACCAATGGCAGGAAAGATATTATCATCGCCCATATCTGGATGTGGGTCGGAGGTTTCTTCCTGAAATGCAAGTGAGGGCAGAGGAAATTTAGAACAAGTGATCGGACAACTAACAAGGAGGAACGACATCAAAATAAATCATCCCTGAAAACATAAACCATCAGTCCTAGATAAATCACAGAAAATTTGAACCAAGATCAACCCTTCAAGCTACACATGAATCCAATCAATCTGATAAAATTTGTGGATAACACATGGAATCCTTAAGGTATCCAGTGATCTTGATAAAGTAGGCTAAAAGTAACCTTATTTGCTTCCGCAATATCCCATTATCTCTTTGAAATCACATTGCAAACTCCCCAAACACACACAGGGGGGGTACTTCAGGTTAGTACTTCTTACAGAAAAGTATTCCCCTGATGAGGCAGAGAAGACATAACATATGTCACACTCTCCAGGCTGAAACTAGTAACAAATCCTTCCCTTCCTTTCTCTCCCTTTCCCTCTTTCCACAATGGTAAAGAGAAATGATATCACATGCTCTAGGTGTATTTTTAGTTAAAGGCAATCAGATTTAACTCTAAAAATTACACGAATTAGAAGTGGTTTTCCCATGAAGAATATCAAAATAATGGCTGATTTTCCTTGTCTATAAACTCTGTCAGCTTTTCTGTTGTATTTGTATGCAATATCATACAGAAATCAGAACTGCACTCAAGTTTTTTTATGATAAGCCAAGAAGGTGGTAAAATAAACATAATTTTTTGAAAACGGACAGCACAACAGAGTATAAAAAAAAATTTGAGCATCAAGAGTCCATAAAACGAGATTTAAGGAAAAGACAAGCCCAAGTATCCAGCAAATATCAAGATGAAGGATTGGAAATAGAAAGCAGATGGAAGGACTAATGAATAGAAAAACATAAATATACTCATCGATTCCTGACGTTAATAAATTCAAAACTTAAGCTCCACACTCTAAACGTAATTTCAGGAATAAAAAATAAAAACTAAGATTAAAAGCGGGAGAAAATGAGGGAAATAGGAAAGACAGCAGATCGAAATGAGAAATGAGAAGTTGCAGCAGGTGAGATGCAGAGTCTAATACCAGAAGGGATCCCATGGAAGGTGGAGCAGAGGATAGGATACCAGAGGAGTATAGCAGAACGTAGAGCTGCAATGTGTACTATCAGGCAGTTGAAGCAGCCCTTTAGTGAGTAGTCGTTCTTCTCCTCTCTCTACCTCTGGTATTTAAATTTTCAATTGCTACTTAAACTCAATAGTTTACACGAAATTCCAAATAAGCTTTGACAGGATCAACCCGATAAGAAAGAGGATTGAACTGGTCCCAGCCGGTGCCAGATTATCGAATTTAGTTTACCCAGTACTTAGGAATAACGTCAATTCTCGCCAATTGTGTTCTTCATGCATCTATGTTGACTTGTCCACCACCATTGGACAAGTCAACATAGATAAACAATAGCTATTTCAACCACAAAATAGAATACTTGATGTACTAATGTAAGACTGAATACTAAGATAAAGGAAGAACAATCAAATGCAAATACTTCATGCATAGCTAATATGAAGAGGCATACCAACCTTATCAGAGACAGAGGCCAAAGAAGCATGAGGATATGCTTCAGTTGATATCGAATTGAAGTAAATATACAGCATCAGCCATACATGAATAATATGTATGATCTCCATAGGAAAAGACAATCCCAAGTAAATTTAAGGCGCACAGACATGAAGATACCACATCGAATGCCCAGCTCCTATGACAAGGTTAAATAGTAATTACCAGTTAGAATTGGCTGGGTCATAGTAGCTGTCGAAATGTTTCCCAAAAAAGAAAACCAGGCAATGGAGTACATGTGAAAAATTAAAAAATGAGATAGGACAAACTTTATAGAATAAATAGAAATAAGCAGTTTTTCCTTTACGAAGTTGGGCACTTATTTCAGTTATGCAAGAAACCCCACTGATGTAGGACAGACCAAGAAATGATGCAGTTCAATTTCATCTCAATTCAGGTAGACTAGAGGCCTAGGATGCCTGAAGACAAAATTCAATTTAAGTTCGGTTTGAGATGGCCTTGTAAAATATTTGGACACTTGTTAAATATGTCAAAATCTTAATTCCTACATTATTTTTTAACTTCAAGTAATCCCCCAGAATTGTTACCAGCGTTCAAACAAAACCCTCTTTTTTCTAAGACGCGCTTTAAATATAACCCTTGCTTTCCTTAGATAAGTTTCAATGTATTTTCTCCTTTTCTAGACTAGTTCTAGCTAGATTTCGGCCTATAAAAAAGTCCCTCATTGTAGCCCCAAAAACATTCACGTTTTCATCAATCTATTTTTTGAGTTATCTTCCTCTCTAGAGGTTCTCTAACTCTGCTGGTAGATTTCAATATCCCTTTGAACTAAGGGAGCCATTTTTGATCTTGTGGACTCAAGATCAAGCTCTTGTGAACTCAAGGGCCAAGTTTTTCAAACTCTGTGGATTCGGGACAAGAAAATCTCACATATTTCAACTCATTTCAACTCTGACTGCGTCAGAATGTGATTATATAGTAAGTACTTCCATTTTTTGCCATGTCAAAACTGACAAGAAACCTGATGCATGACATAGGAAAATCACCTATTAAGCTGGGTATTTTAATGTATCGTCAGAAAACAGAGCAGTACGATACAATCAAACATCGGATAAAATGACAACAGTTCAATTTGGTGGTGTAGCCCCCCAAAATGTTCTCCCGGTAGATGAGACATCAACAGTGGCAGTCTCACAAAACTTGAGGATTCTGTCAGGACAGCAGATGACTCAAGGGGGCTGTAGATGGCTTGGATCAAGGTTCACAGCCAGACATTTATAGAACAGGGAGTCCAGTCGATCGGACAGCATGTAGGGATGAACCTACAGAACCTGTTAATGCATCGAAGATAAACAACTCTGTCACCTCAGACTCCACTCACCAGTACGTGACTACAGGCTTCATTGTCCGTTTGAACAGTAAAAAAAACACAGTTCTTGGTGAGCAAGCCCCTCTCCTCTTCCCTTTGTGTCCCTCCCTTCTCCTGGCCAGTTCCTCATTCCGATACCTCAATCTCTTCAGTCCCAATCTCCCGTCTCCCCTTCTCATGGTCACCCACTCTACCTCCCCTGGGCAGACTCCTCTCCCATTCCCTTCTCTACCCTCCACGCCAAAAACCCACAACAGAAGAATCGAATCGACAGAGATTCTGACCTTGGAAAGCGAGGGGGGTCTCCCCGGGAATGGCTCCACTGATCGATTTAGCAGCCGATTACGCCGCCGCCGATGCAAGACGAGGGAGAGGAGGAAGCTATCTACGATTTATTTCTCAATGTCCCAGAGACCGAGGCCTCGTTCATCGTCTCGTCGACCTTAGGAAACCCTTGTTCCTGAAGAAGAGGAAGATCACGGCGGTGACTCTAAAATTGCTTCTTTTTATTCTATCTAAAACTTTTACCCCACCTGCTCCTCCTTCCCTCTCACCATACCAGCTGGAAGCCAAGATTTGACCCAAGTTATGGAGATCGCCTGGGCCCATAAGTTTTACCTGATTCGTACCGGGCTCGGCTGGCTCAGGGTCAATGTTTCTGCCGTGGACGTTCCGTGGCACCAGCACGAGACTCCTCGTCCATCCCATGCAGGAGACGGTTCGATTTGCAGAGTGAGAGACCGGGAATGGAATAGGGAGAGAGCGAGAGAGAGAGAGTAATTTTTTTGGAAAAGAAAATGAAACGAAGCTGGAAACTAGAAACTGAAATCAGAGGGCGGCTGAGCGGGCTGGGGCTTCGATTATTTGAGCAAAGATTTGATTTTTGGGAGTGTTTTCTTGCTATTCTTGGTTTGATCCTTTGAGACGCCAAGAGCAGCAAGTCGCCCATTCATTCTGTTCGCCCTCCTGCATTCTTTTTTGCTTCATTCATCATCTGCTTAGGGCCTCAGATTATCTAAACATATGGGTTTTGATGCGGTCTTAAGCTGGGCGTAAAATGATAAAATGCTGCTGGATCTGAAGGGTCTAAACCCTCTCCATAATAATTTACCACTTAAAGAAAAATAAAAAAAATCGAAGTTATCAACTTCAGAACACTGTTAATTCTTCACATGAGGCGAATTTTTTTACTACATGAGCCCCTCTTGCATATATATATATATATATATGAATAATCACTTTAGCTCATCAACATGGCCTGATCAGGATCAGGGGCAGGAGCACATGATCTGACCCACCAACCAGAGCCCAGCTGCAAGAGATCAGACCCTCTTATTTATGCTCATATGAACCATCGTTGGGTCAAGAACACAGTGATGGTTGCACACAGATTCTGAATATTTGACAACATCATCCACCCAAAACCATACTGAAGGATCAGAAAATTGGGCGCTCTTCCCTCCGCATGATGAACAGACTATGAAACCATCGGTGAGTCATGAACACTTTCTTAAAACTGGTGCAAATGCACGGTGATGGTTGCATACAGGTTCTAATTTTTCACAACGTCATCCACCCAAAACCATATTATATTATCAGAGAATTGGGTGCTCTTCCCTCCACATGATGAGCTGATTGTCAGTCAGCCACCCCCCTCACGCGTCACAAAACATCTGCAGGTTAGTTGGAGTTGACCGGATGTTCTTCCCAAGATGAGCTCAGGAGCCGCGGAGTGCTCAGCAGAGTTCCGTCCATGGGGAGCTAGTCTTGGTGGAGATCTTGGGGTGGCGGGGCAAACCTCACGTTCTCTGGGCGGTCCACAATGTCAACACCGTCGTCGTCAAAGAGGCATTTGATAAAGGAGGGAGTCTTGAGCAGCCGACGACCAGTCATCCGGGGGTAGACATCCTCAAGATAGTAGTATGTGTGCCCCGCGATCAAGCCCTAAATGAGAAATATTCATCAGAAAAAGATCGGCGAGATCTTATGGGCGAAGGGAGGGAGGACCTGAAAAATATATAATATATACATAAAATACAGAAGATTTTGGGTGCGTTGACTTGCCCGCCTACATGTGAGTAGCAGAATTTTTCATGGCGGAAGGTTGACCCAATACTTGAATGGCTGCCGATCTATGGGCTCATATCAGCCTAGACTCATTCGACTCAACACCTATTCATGGTTAAATATATATATATATATATCACAGACTGTGTTGACCCAACTCGGACTGGGTAGTTTGCATCCCTAAATTCGTATCATAGGATTCAGAATCATCATCTTGGTGGAACCCAAGTGATAGATGGAGTATTTTCTGTTTTCCATTTTCCATGCAACTGTTTGAATCCGATGGAAGTATGTTAAATCTGGATGACATGTTCCATCCATAGTCTTCACCGGTCTAGGGACTTACCAGAAAATCCCCCCATGTGTTGGCACCAACAAGCACGGTGAAGCCCAAGAGGACCTGTAAACCAGAGAGAGAATCAAATGAAGATATTTTCCATACTGAGAAAAAACCATAAATGGATCCCTTGGATTTCCACTAAATCTGAAACTGATCTGAGTTTTTTTTTTTTCTATTGATCTGGGTTTTTTCTTGACCTAATAAAGGATAAAAGAAAGAGCATTCAACTGGAAGATGAGACGAACCATAAGAAGGCTTTTCCATACTGAGAAAAAACCATAAATGGCTCCCTTGAATTTCCACGAAATCTGGAACTGATCTGCGTTTTTCTTTTTTTTCTAATTGATCTGGGTATTTTCTTGACCTAATAATGATAAAGAAAGAGCATTCAACTGGAAGATGGGAAGAACCACAGGAAGGCTTTTCCATACTGAGAAAGAACCATAAATGGCTCCCTTGGATTTCAACGAAATCTGAAACTAATCTTAGTTTTTTTGTTTTTTTTTTTTAATTGATCTCGGTTAAATGTCTGTAATAACCATGTAAACTCACCCAAGGCAAATAGGCTGCGGTGAAAGTAAACAGTCCCAGGAAGCTCATGGGAATGAAAGGGTTCTGCTTACTCCAAATGTATACCTGCATGAGAAAAGATGGACTAGCTTTCAGTTAATTTATGGAAACTATAGTAACAAGGAAATAGAGAAAGCAAATGCATGCCATGAAAGCTTAAGAGACTGACCATCATGAAAGTCAAGGAATTGCCGAGAAAAATAATACTTGCAAGAGACTCTGAGATGTAAGGAATCATTCCGCCAAAGAACACAAAGATGGTCAACGTTGTCGCACCAAACAACACCATGTAAAAGAAATCTGCGGTTCGTCCCCTGAATGAATTCTCCTCAAGCAGCTTGCAATATCGGGCAAGGAAGAACATGTGGAAAAAGAAGTCCAGGTCTGTGGAACCGAGTGAGGTCAAAACGATGTCAACATTAATACATATGGACAACGCAGATTCAAATGAAACAAAAAGATTACGAAAGGCCAAGTTTATCATCTCATTTTTTTAAAAATGGAAAAAAACTAGACAAAAGTGATGTTCATATTAGATATAAAGAACAGAAAAGGAAGTCTGGTGAACATTCTTTATCTTTAAAATAAATGAACAAGACCGATTTTTTTTCTCTTTCTCAACTATCATGTCTCCGCCACTCACAAAAGAAATCCTCACATCACCACAATGAACAGCATAATTTCAGTTCAATTGATGTACAGATCTACATTTTTCTACTTCATTCTATGTACACGTAATAAATACAACGCTTCAATTCACTTCAGACCTCACAGTTGTCACAAGATTTCTGATAAACATCCGAGGTAACACCGTCAGATTACATATTGTCCTAAATGTCAACGGATAAAGTCCACAACCCATCAACATTACATGCCGTCATTTACAGAAATATTCAAGCCTAGTAAAATGACAACCATATTAAATTTACAAGATAACATTGTGATCCGATATCACATAAACGAGTTACATGTTATTAAGGGATACATTTTTATTTATTTTTTAATCTATCTCTGATACTTACCAACTACTTCAGCAAACATTATATGCACGGCGGGGTCGAGATATGACGATTGTCATTTAACCGCTGAATTGCTATACACCCGAAAGTGCATGTAATAAGATTGCCCTCCCGCTTTTTTTTTTGGTGCTCACCAAGTAGAATCATTGATTTCAACTATATATCGGCACAAGAAAGCCTATGCGACAGCTGCTGTACCGGAAAACAGAGAGGGCCACAAAGAGGATACGCACCCAGTTTCCCGAAGAACAAGAAGTTTGTGACTAGACGCCAGATCTCATAGCGCCGAACAACGAGCTTGGGGTTCAGGTACAAACTGTAAGGGGATATTATCTGCAACGAAATTGGGGACGCATCGTGAGTAGAGAACAGAGAACGAACAAAGCACACATTTCCCACAAAATCAAAACTAAATAACGATGACAGCGGCTTCGAAGAACGTTTCACAGATAATGGACTGTCAGTCCGACACCCCTGGCATTAGTTCCACCGACAGCCTCCTCGGCCAAATATACCCAAGCGTCGGCTTAGTAGTACCTCAAGGGTGCACGCAGCAGTGGTGACAAAGGCGGCCGTGAGGTAAGACCGTGTGATGATCGGCATCTGCTTGTACCACTCCATTATCCGCCCTCCGGCAGGAAATTTGCAGGCGAAATGCTTCTACCCCTTTTAAACAGAGGAGGCAATGCGGGAGAACGTAGAAATCTCGAAACAAGGCCAAATTCTTCCCAGGGTGTCGCACCCAGACAAGGACCTTTCTCTGTAGAAGAGGGAACAGAGAGAAATTGAGAGAGAGGAATCGAGAGAGAGAGAGAGCAATATAGAGAGAGAGGAATCGAGAGAGAGAGAGCAATATATAGAGAGAGAGAGAGAGAGAGAGAGAGGAATCGAGAGAGAGAGAGCAATAGAGAGAGAGAGAGAGAGGAGAGAGATTCGCATGCACGGTAATATCTTTATGAATTATCTTTCGCGACTCAAGTGACGCGGCCCTTTGCTCTCATTGGTCCACGTAGTGGACACGTGCTTCAATTCTTATAATTTTTCATTTTAAACCTGCAAAGATAATCCCTGAAGAAATCACCTGGGTATTTAAGCTATTTCTGAACACCCTTTCTGTAATACAAAGATAATTCATTAACCACGGCTGCGCCACGTGGCCTGCCACATGGTCCCGTGCCAAAAGTATGGGATGCCAACGGGCCAGCCCAAGCCTTTCAACTGGGCCCATTAATTGGGCCAGGGAAAGAGGCCCATAAAAAGCAGCTACCTGGAGTCCACCCCACCTCGCAAACATGCCACGTGGCATCCTCCCGCGCCAAAGGCTAGCCATGGGCCAGGGAAAACCCAGCTGGACCGTTTCTCGGCCCAATTGGGGGAGAAACGCTATTTATTATTCTGCAGGGGTTTCTTGGAAATACAAAAACATCCGAATTAATCAGATATAAAATACAACGGCTAGTAATAAGAAAGCCGTGAATTATGAATATAAAGAGGAGGATGGTTCATCATCTACAGAATAATCACAAACTCCACTGTACAAAGGGATTTCTCGTCCTCCTCCTACCTGTACCACCACTCCTCTTCCTCTTCTCCCCCACCCATCACAGACATGTAGAGAGAGAAATAGAAATGAAGAGAGAGAGAGAGAGAGAGAGAGTGGAGATGGAGAGAGAGAGAGAAAGGGTGAGGAGATGGGAGACGAAGAGAGAAAGGGTGGGTGAGGGAAAGAGGGTGGTGGGTGTGTGATAAATACAGGGTTAGAGCAGCTAATCAAGTGCAAACCTGTGTGAGGTGGGGTAGTTGGCGTTGGTGGCGGAACAGGCGGTGATAGGCGGTTGGCGGTGGCGGATTCAGCAGCCGTTGGGGCGGTGGTAGGCGGGGGGGAGTGATGGGCAGCGCTCGTTCATGTGGGAGTAGGGGAGGAGGGAATTGTAGTCGGGGAGCTCCATTCGGTACTTGCCACGGAGCTGGCAGAAGGGGAGGACCGATCCGTCGGCTTCCTTGCACCACTCGGGTAGCCGGGTTTGATTGTCCTCGAAGAATCTCAGCGTGTAGGCGTCTTTGATCTGCAGGAGAAAGACAATTATGGAGAAAGCAGACAGGCAGAGAAATCAAGCGTATTGAAAAGACTGGCTGGGAATGAAAGTTCAAATCTTTAGAGCGGGGAAGAGAGAGACTAGCGAGAGAGGGAGAGCAGAGAGATAGTGGGAGGCAGAGACAGAGGGAAGCAGAAGGTCAGATGGGAGAGAGAGAGAGAGAGAGAGAGAGAGGGGGGACTTACGGTGAACTCTGTGACCTGGATGGAGCTGGCGATGGAGCCGAAAAGGCCTGCCTCCTTGTACATCTCAAGAACGAAGGCTATGCAGGAGGAAGACTTGCCGTCGGAGTAGAGCCAGTCATCTTGCTCCGGGATGGTCAACAGCTTGTCAAATGAGACACCACGCCTCTCTGTTTCCACCAGAATCTCCGGCAGGCTGAGATTCTAGTGACCCCAAAAAAAAATGATTTAGGACAAAAAAATGGGATTCTGGTCACATGTTATTTCTTCCTTCCCTTAATTATCCTATGAATTTTAATTTTTTAAACAATACTTGGAGAAAGAATTTAAATTTCCTAAATTAAAATGACTTGGCAACGGATTCTAGTCTTCAGTTTATGATTATTTCAGGCAAACATAGGGAAGGATGCACCCATTTAAAAAACCAATTAAAAAAGAAAATAAAATAAAATTACGTATTATTTCCTCATTCCCCTAATTATCCATAGTTTTTAAAATTTTAAAAAAAGAAACTTGGGGACCAGACCCACCGAGGGAAATCAGCCAACTTATCTTGGCCCCAACCATCTAAGCTAAGATAATATTAAATCAATCTAGCATTGTTTAAACGATACGAGATAGTGATACAGCTGCTCAAATGAATTATAACCACATGAAATCATAAATGTACATTTTATAAATAAATAAATAATGATGCTATTTTGCTCAAGTAAGAAGCGATTGCAAACCTGAGTCCCGAGCCGCTTGTTCAGAGCCTCATTCCATAAATTAGGAGCATAAGTTGGCTGGATCTGGTTCCACATAGTCATAACAGAGGCAACCTGTAAGAGGAGGGCAAGAATGTCAAGGACCAGAAAGTATCCAGAAATATGGCTGCCTACTATTTAAGGCAGTAAAATAATTTCAAAGAAAGCCAATTCAATAACATCATCATCTCGACGAGATAACTAGTAGAATCCATCCACTTATGTTCTAGCTTGGGGGAGGAAAAACAACCCCATTTATCCCTTAAAAAATGATGATTTTGTCCCTTGAAAGCTAGCGTTTTGTTGCCGCATTTTGTTTATACCCATTTTAGCAAACATACCTATTTTGTATATTGTACTCCAAAAAAATTCCATCATATGCCTTTTCATCTGGTTTTAGCTGATATGGAAGATACGATCCCAATCTGGATCTGGGTTCAAGCAACCAAAGCCCACATCGGCCTTCCGGCTCTGATTCTGAGTTCCGTCATGAGATTGACCTCACAATTTAGCGGAGGTGTAGACACTAAGGAATTTTTACTTGTTGAGTTAATCACATTAATCCGGGGGACAATGCCTCAAATGTAGACAGGGTTAGTAGAAAAAAGTATTAGCTGCGAAAATAATTGCAATAACACGAGATTGAAAGCGTGCAGAGTAAGAATTATGAAACCCAGCTTCATAATTCTGCGAATGCTGAAGAACATGCACAGGGTTCTTGGTTGTGGGTTGTGGGGTTGTGAGAATCAGATTGTTGAGCCCACTTTCTCATGGCAAAACCACTGATAGTTTCTAACTATAGAATGGAAATTGATCCGTTGCGACACTACATTAGAGGACTGGAGTAACTCCGCCGGTCTGAATCACAAATGCATTCAACCAAATGGAAACTTTATTAAATCGAAAGGAGTGAAAAGGTCAATGACTCCACATGAGCATATGTAACCTTCCCCATCGATTTCTCTTCAAAGAGGCCCTCTCCATGTTATTAGGTGTGGAAGGTGGAGCCCTACAAGTGTAAAGAACCTTTTTCTCCTCAGAAGGCATCAAAGCTTAATCAATTTTACCCCTTCTTGTTCCATGGCCCATCGTATGCAACAAAGTGAACTATCATCAATTGATTGGAGGCTGACAACAGTGAAATTGTCTGGTGAAACTCTATTAATACATGAATGCAAGTGATCACAGATAAAAACCAAGGGATTGGAGAGGCACTAACAACACAAATCAAACCATTCAAAATGCTAAAAGAAAACCACCAAATAATTTATACAGAGAAAAAACCAACCCTGATGTCAGCAATAGGCAATTAATCGACTGTAAAAATTGCAGGTCAAGTAAAGCATGAAACGCCATTGAATGCAATTGGACCTACCATCCTTTAAATTTTATTCACCTTCTACCTAACTACTAACGAAAATGAGATGTGAAAGATTCATGTCAGTGTCATTACCAACTGCGCATTCAGCGGTGGAGGGTAATTCCCCTCTAAAGTGTCTATCCAGCTGAATATCATGTTATGATAACCATATGGTTTCCCTGACATGGTTCCGGCATATTCCCATGCTGCGGTCTCATTAAACTTTGCTCGCATATCAGGATGCAAAGGAAGCAGTGCAATATGAGGATTAGAATCATCTTTATTCAGCTCATAGTCCCACCATTCTTCCCAGGGCAACATGGCAATAATATCCTCTCCCTGTACATAGAAAAGAAATGTCGAATATTAGTTTACCAGAGACATCATCATCATAGTCCCACGTTTCATTCCGAACAATACTGCAAATTATGCATGCATAGTTCTCGTCAGGATTGACCAAAGAAAGATTTATTAAATCACAATTACAACTGAGTTTACTCACATCAACTATTCCGCAGAGTAAAAGGGTAGAGAACAAATCAGTCTCATAAAATAGTAGGGGATTAAACTAAAGATGGCAGCACTAATAGAGGAAATTGTTCTGATTGCCTATGAAGCCATCCATTCACAAAGACTTCAAGAAACAATTATCCAATGAAGTGAACTTTTGGATTCAACCAGAAGTGGGTAATATGAGATCAAAAACCATCAATTCACTTTTTTTTTACATTGACCTTGGCGAAGCAATGGGTGCGCCCAGAATACTATAACCATGTTAACGCTATGTTACATCTGATACACTTCATTTACTATAATATAAAATCTGGAACAATCTTGGAAGTTTTATCATATCGGAAGCGATTGACAATGTAGTTGCATTCGATTGTTGTTTCATTGGGCCAACTTAAACCCTCATTTGAACATCATCAGGATATTCAATCAATAAGCGAATGCAATTTCTGATCAGTTCCATTCAATTACGAGTCATTGCATCCAGGGAAGCCTAATGATTTTTCAACTAGAAGTTCTAACAAGGGGCCAGATTCTCTGCAGCGTTAATTGGAGCCTTGTTTTAATTGCGCTTAATTTTTCCTATCTGCATTCACGTATAACTCCTTACACGAAATAATGTATAATTGTTCGTCAACAAAGCTACACTGTAATCTTCTAGAGAACCTAATTATATGAAAGCCCTAACTTCCAACTCTTTAGGGGCAGATCGTGATCTCTGTACCAATTGAACACCGACTCTATCAAAAACTGATCACTAAGTAATCCAAGTTATGTCTGCACTAGGTGTTCGAAATAAAAAGTTGTAGGAGAGTTAAAGAAGATTAATGGATGTTAAACTAGACTTAAATAAGATTAATGCTGCAGAAAAAAAAATCAAAGGATACTTACCTGCTCATTTTCATGCCCTGATTCTCCAACCCAAAGTTTTCCATCAGCGTCTCTTAAACAAACAGCAGAATGACCAGCGTAGGATCCACTAACCCATTTCTCTAAAGTTTCAAAGCCACCCCATCGCCCACGAATTTTTGACAAAACAAGCAGATCCCCTGAGTGTATATCATCAGCACTAACATTTGAAACCCATGGTTGAGGACGCTGTTCAAAAGAAGCACCCATGTGTTTCTCAAGGAAAGCAAGGTTCGAACTCTCTCCCCATCCAGTGTTCGAAAATAAGGGAAATACATCCCACAGTGCTCGAAGAGTTCCCAGCATTCCAGACTCCATCAAGAAGATGGAAACTCCATTGTGTTTTACCTGATTTTGCAAGAGAAAAAAAAAAGTTAATATACATCAAACGAAGGTGCAAAAAAATAAGAGCTCATCTCAAATGGTTTACAATCAAAGGTGACAACTTACATATTCGTACTCAGCTTTTCCTTCCCAATGATCAATATCAAGTGTATGATCCCGCGAAAGAAAGTAGTAATCCCATGTTACACGGTACGGGGTTGCAAAAATGTAGATATCCATGCATGTCCAGCTGTGTGGCTTAAGAGTCTAGAAGAAAAATTAAATGTTACTGAAAGGCAAACAAAAAATCAGAGAATGTGAAGCACAGTGCATAGCTATGAAGAGACTTAAATATCCACCTAAAAACACCGTCACTGGATGCGCTCAAAATAACTAAGGGATAACACTTAGAGGACAAGTGAACACTCGTTGAATCAGCAAAAGAAAAAGAACATTATCATATTCCAACAATGGTTTTTGTAACCAGATTGTTCATAACCAAGCATAGTCCTTGCCCAGTAAAGCAACAAAGTATAGCATTATAAAGAAATATATTTTTTTTCATCAGGATTACATGCCACTTCCTCTCAATTGAGCTTCTTTGGATTTCAATACATGATTCAAAAGTTGTTAAATACCAATAAGCAACAAAGAAGCAGAGAAAAGAAGCCCTTTGGAGGAGACAAAAAACTCTTAAGAGAAGCAAAACTGATGGAACAAGGACAATGTTGAAAGTAATGATCCTTGTTCAAAACAAGGGAAAGGTAAGATAGTGGCAGTAATATCCACGCATTTATTTAAGTTATCCATATCTTTAAAATGCAACCTTATACTCCCGCAATGTCCTTAAATTGTAATCCACATACATATTAGCGAACTTTTCCTCAAAGAAAAAGAAAGAAATCCACACAAGAGAATTTCCAGATAAGTTGGATCTTGTTAAGATATTAGGTCGTACGGTCTGAAGATACTTTAATCAATTAATTATGGAATAAAGCACAACGAGAAACTCCACCGAGCATGAGGCCAATGAATTCTGTCGCTTAGACCTTCCCAAAAAACCAAAAGAAATATCAGCTCGTTATCAAACATGCTAAATTAAATCGTACTCACTTCACTAGAAGAGATGGGGCGAAATGAATTGTAAAAGTAAAAGATTTACACTCCACAATTAAGGCAGTTGAAAAACAGTAAAAAGCAAACTTCAGAAACTAAACCAGCATATCCAGTGCACTTTCCCACGTGTGGGGAACAGAAAAGGGGAGAAAAAGGATGGACAAGAAAGTCTTTCCTCAAAAAACTGCATAAATGGAGAATCTTGGCTTCACAAATACTTACAAAAGAGAGAAATGCAAAGGGGAACAACAGGAAGACACACACTGATAAAAAAAACAACTGCAATCGCAGTTCAAGGAAGAAGAAATGAAGCATTAGACAAACGCAAGATACATGATCCTCGCACACTTTTGGCACCTTGTAGATGAGTGTTGGAAATTCGTAGCTCTATCATTGGCATCATGTAGTTCACCATCAGCGCGTTAATAGCAACCATGGATAACTCTACCATATGCGTTGAACCATTTGTGAAGAATACCCACCAGTGGTATCTAAAGGTGAAAAGGTTAGGTCAGCTCTGAAAGTGACAAGGCAATTCGTTTTAGGTTTTTCATGTGATGAACTGAAACTAAATAGTTACGTCCTGTGGGGATATGACTAGCCTCATAGTTCTCTAAATCCTGGCAAAGACTCATCTAAATCATCAATATGGTTTGCAATGGTCCACTCCTACCATCAATTTATTGTTTTTCATGATTGAAGCTTTATTGTTCAGTCTTAGGCTGAACAATGAAAACTGGCCAAATGTTCTTGCCATTTTTTATTTCTTCTTAGCAACTTTTAGCATGCAGTTTACAGTGGGATCCAAGCAAACATACAGTTCCCGAGAAAAGCGTGTCCCAATCTGTCTTGACATAACTAAAACAAAAAAGTTAGAAAATGGCTGACTTTCGAAACAACATCCAGAAATCCATCACATTTGAAGCAAAACAGCCATCAGAAAGAACTATTCAAATACTCATCTATCAGCAAGACGTAACATAGACACTTCTCAATTCATTGAGGAGGGGACCAACTCGAACGCAAGGAAAAAATAAATCAAATACTATATTCAAAAATCTTATTAGGATAAACAGAAAGAAAGAAATAAGAGATGGACAGAATTAACATAGTTCAACTGACCGCACCAGGAGCCTAGTTTATCCAGGATTTAACGATCTAATAATCATTGAAAGAAAACTAGACAAGCAAGTGAAAAACAGAAATTTTAATAAAAAGTAAGTTTACAGAGAGGCCTACAAAAGCATCAAAATGAGAAAATCGTGAGGAATAGGACAACGTGCTTCAACAAAACTCCAGTCAACAGTAGTTGAACAATCTCGATTTGAAGCACCACACAGTTCGGAAGTTAAAAATCGTGATGCAGAAGACAAAACTAAAAAGGATCAACGCCACATTGCAGAAAATATATGAAGACAGGTCATTCCTGAAAGCCTGTTACATAGCACGGAAAATCCCCTATCTGGAAGTCCATACGACTCCTAAGCATAATTAGATTGAAAGGAATTTCTAGAGAATATTTCCAGTCAGTGTAATAACAGTCAAGATCCCTAGTATCAATAGTATTCATTTTCCCAAAACAACCCAAGAAGAAAAAGAGAACATATTCAATAAATTGAAATGACAGGGATGTGTGCCCCGAGATTACAGAGCACGCACAATCTCTACAACCACGAGACGATGGGGGCGGGCCACTAACCTTAATATGAAGGGTGCCACCGCCGAAAGAGGTGCCGCTTTTGTTGTTGAATTCCAACCATGCAGAGGTCTGGTAGAAACAGGCCCCCTTCCATTGCAGGCTGGAATCCGGGGAGGAATTGCTGGCGAACCCCACGAAAGACGGCAGAAGGTCGGCGGCGCTGCGGAGGGAGGCCAGAATCGGCCAAGCGACCCCATGGGGCAGCAGCGGGAGGAGATCAATTGGACGGTAGGGCACAACCGCCCACCTCCCCCCAAATATCTTCAATCCACATCCATCCTCCTCGTAGCAACCAGGAACCAAGAAAGAGAGCAGGAGAATCGTTAAGGGGAGGGAGAGGACGAAGAGCAGGAGGAGCGGTAGAACAGTGGAAGCCCTCCTCATGGCTTCTGAGCTTCTGGGCAGCGGCAGTTGTCTCGCCTCTCCTCCCCCACCTTCTTCTTCACTCCGCACCTTCACCGTCCCATCGCCAGCCTCAAGAGAGAAAGAGAGAGAGCGAGAGAGAGAGAGAGATGGCCGGAATATACCTCTCCGGTGACGGCGACTCCCCCGGTCTTTTCTTCATTGACGCGACAGCGGGGGAACCGGTTCGGTCCGATCCACTCCGAGTCCGTCTCGGTAAGGTTCAAACCGCATCTGATCACCGAACCCTTTCCGGCCACCTAATAAAGGTTGAGGGTCTTCATCAGGCGGTACTTCTTCACTTATCAAGCTTCGCGGTGATCTTTTGTCGTTTAGTGCCGTTGCCAAATGTCGTTCACTTATCAAGCTTCGCGGCCACCTATAGGAACTCTTCCTATGTTACCAAATGTCCATCATAGCCTTTACTTTGTACATTATTAATCCTTCACCCGCGGGAGTCTTTCTCCACGAGGGGCGGCGAGAGCTGGGGGCAGTAAAATAAGGAATTATAGGGGGTAAATATGGAATTCATGAGACGTCAATGAGTCTATAAGCGTGCGAGGTGGTGACTGGGGGAACGTGGCGGAGGCCCAGTCACGCGTGCTGCCTTGCCGTGTCGGGATCACAATGATGTTGCACGATTATCACGTTGCCTCCATATGGTTGACATTATCCCTATTGTCTCTATCTTAAAATAGGACTTCAACCGAAATTAGGAAAATTCCCCTCAAGATTATGCGAATATTGAGTAAAAAGTCAACACCGAATCCCATCCAACTACCCAAAAAGGGTCCCAAAAAAATCTGGCTCAGTCAACCGGATATGCAAGATCAGCACCAATATGTTCCCTTAAAAAACATAGCAACCTTCCATGTGAACTACTTTGTTTTTTCTTACTATAACTTGTCACTAGTAATGAATATTCAAGAGATACTACTGTGGATACTTATTCTTCCTTAGATAAATCAAGAAAGTCAACTCTATTTGTCGCTCTATGTATAGATGTGTAAATCTTAGGTATAATGAGGAGCAAGTCAAAGATTCTCTCAAAGAATGACTAAAAGTCAAGTTCTGTCCTTTTCGCTAACATGGATTAAGCCTAGGCTTAGCGTGTATATCCTTCCAAATACATTGCACAAGATTTGTGTGTTCTTGTTTTGTATGGGATATGTTGTGGTCAATTTGACATAAAAGGTAAAAGTTGATAATAAAAGCAACAAAAAAGGTGAGAACAATTCAACATTGGGTCATAAGGAAAAAGTAGAAATCAATGATCACATGACAACCATATATAAGTTATTTAAAGCATGGACTTTATAAGCATTAGATGTTCATAGAAAATAGTGAGTTGATTTTTGCATATATTACATTATTAGGGAATATATATCATTCAAAGCATCCAATGTTAAAGATGACAAAGAATCTTGAGTATGTGAACATCAAATAATGAATTTGTTATTGATTCACAAAGAATTCATGAAGTCATTTAGTTAAACATTCATTTGAAAACTTTCATCAGCATTGACACATAAGTGATTGAGTATTTTATTAACAAACATTTCCCTAAAGATGCAGAGCACGTGATCAAGATATTTCTGTCTAATAAGATGGAGTGGGGTAAGTTAGCTCACCTTTGATCAAGCTTTGGGGTCCAAAAACATTGTTATCATTGATGTGATAGAGAATGTTAGTGGCAAGTTGAAGTATTATGGCAAGAATAGGGGATTTAGAGGTTTAAATAATATTTAATGCCTAATCTAATTTGCTAGTGATGACGAGGCAACACAACATGATCAAAAATACATGAGAATGTGTGACCAATTTTAGGACTTTACAAGGCATCAACTAAGAGCTTATTATACTATAGAATTCCCTTTTCTATAAATGGGTTTAAGTATCAAGTTGTAGAAAAGTTTCACTAGTATCGAAAGGTATCATAGTTAGTAGAGACTTTATGTTGCAATCCTACTTTATTGAACACTTTTGAAAATTTCAGAGTAATATAGTCAACAAATATATTTTGACTACTCATCTAAGAAGTATTATCTTAGAAGGAAATGGGTACTCATATATGTGGTACATCTAAGAAGATGGGAAATGGTGTCCATGTGAGATGATATGGTTTTAAGTTATACATTCATTATCAACTTTGGTGCCTTAATTAGTAAAATAATAGGTTTTTATTATGTGGTATAGGATCATGTGAGTTGATGGGAAGTGGTTCTAGTCTAGTAATACAAGACTAAGTACACCTATAACATTTCTTCTAGATTTCTTGGGTGTTGATCAACCCAATGGAGATTAGGAAATTGGTAATAGAGATTAAGTTGAAACTTTTGACATTGGTTCATGGGTATTACTTGGAGTTTGGCTTGGTTTGGTTTTTTCAATTTTAGGTAATGGGTTTTCTGTCAAGATTTGTATGCTTAGTAAAGACTTGATGAATGGGAATGAGATAGGCAAATTCACATTTGAGTTAGAGGAAATATTTTGAGCATCAGTTTAAGAGATAAGAATGTTGGTTTTAAGAAGGCTATAACGGAAATCAAGAGGGAGGCATGAAATTATTCTTTTTCAGCTTAGTATACTTATAGCATCTTACATTTCTATTAACCAAGCTTTATAATGGTTCAAATAACCTGACCTACTTCATTTTCTAAGGACTGCATTTTTAGATTCAATTGGCTCATTGTCAATATCATTGATAAACAAAAAGGCTTCAACTAGCCTCCACTATATTTCATGACTTTATGTGGAAAATATATTCATCGAACACCTTTTCTAGATTCTCAGCTCTAATCTTACTCTTAAGTACTCATATACAAGAAATTGAAGGACAAAAGATTTAATCATTTAGGCATGTTGCTTCCTGTAGCATGAATTTTTGTGTCCAGTAATATAAAAGCTTCTTTGAGAGAGGAGATGTATGAATCCTCAAGAAAAGATGTAGAAGTGTGATTTAGGAAAGTGTATTTATCTATTGACACCAAATAGTTAATCCTCATGAAGGGTGATTTTTATTTTTTTGGGTTTTAATGGTCGAAAAAGGTTTCATATGATCACACCCCCAACATATCTACTTGCATGCTCTCAAAGAGCTAGTTGCGAGCACTACAAAAACTTACCTTTATTTTTTCCAATTATGCAACACTATAAATCCTTCTAATCAAGTAAGTCATTTGTCTTCCTACAAAGAAGTGAAATTGTAAATCTTATGAGAAATAAGCTCTAAAGATTTAAAAAACTTTAATACATGTTAAATTAAAAGTTTGTCAATTTATTAATGATCACAGATATATGCAAACATTTTTTGTAATGTAAAATTATTATTTTATAATTTCATCAACTTTCCTCACAACATGTTGAGAATTGTCCTAGGTAAGCAAGTTGACTCACTTCCTTTGATTGATAACTTTGTTATGATGAGTTTTGAGTGTTTGTGATACCAAAAAAGGAGAGTGAATTATTTTTGCTCTGATATATTTTCATTTTTTAGGATCTAAAGGCTGAATATATATCTCATTCATGTAATTTTTATCAATTTGGTCATCTAACATATTGTACTCTTCAAGGACTTGATAACATGCTAAGAATACTCATTAGTTGCCTTAAAGTGAACATATTAAATGTCTTATTTTAGCATGTTATCATTTATTATATGGAAAAATAATACTTTTATAATGATTCTATGATTTTCTTGATTTTTAGGACATTTCCCAGATTTTATGGTTTTTTTGGATTTATTTTGATATATTTAACCCATAAGGATGTAAAAGTAATTTTTGGAAATACATATGTATTATTTCACATATTATGGGAGGCTTTTCTGAAATTTTCCCACAATTAACAAGAAATGAAACACCATTTTTTATTTTGATTATTTGATGCACTGTTGCATTTGATGCAATTGTTATGACATGAAATGAAATAGATCAATATTGTGAAATGTGCAGAAGAACGTGTCAGAGTGGAATACAAGGATCAATATCTAACGATTTAGAAGTAATTTTGAGCCTAAATTTTATGGGCATGACCTTCAAGACATGCTCTTTGCATCCCTAGATTTGGATCGAAAATTGGCTTCAAGAAGGTTGTGCAAATGAAGGAAAGGGGCTAAAGGTATTTTAGAAAATTTTACTATCTATATGTATTCTCTTCACCCTCTTTCCTTTTCATCTTTTTGGAAGGAGCCCTAATAGTGGTTGGTCATAGTGAAATATTTTTTCTTCTAAAGGTTCATTCTTCTTTTTCTTTTTTGTAATCTTGAGTAATCAAGAGAGGTGATGTGACTTAGCTGTTGTATAACAAATCATGTAAATTTAAAAATTAAAAATAATAATTTTTAGATTTTTAGAAATATTTCAGAAAAAATAAATCAATTATAATTCGATAAAAGGTTTCAAAAATAACAGACAATTTTTAAGTCAACCATAAGGATGTAAGATAATATCTAGTAATATTTTATATTTTTTTTGTAAATAATATGATTTGTTATAATTTTAGACTAAACAATGAAGAAAAATATATTTAAAATTCATGAAAATGAAACTAAGGGTGCGAACGTCAAGATGACATCAACAACTAAATGAATTTGAATCGAAAAAAAATAGAGTTACACCCACCGATTTTTATGTAAACAATTACAAATGATTTAATTAATCAAATTATGATTTATAAAAGTTAGATGAATTTTATGTGAATCAAAAAATATTTTTAAAACTTAAAATTATACAAGATATCACTAAATTAAGTGAAAATTAAGTTTAAAGCAAGAAAGGTAAGGTCTTGGCCTCACAATAGTGATCGCTAAAATTTTATGTGTTCAAAAGGATTATCAAATGATCTTTATGGCCTCACAGGTTTTTCTTGGACATAGACCATATGGACATTCTCTAGATCTCTTTTCAAAATTCAAAAATGATAGTAGAAGTTAAACTAGTTAAAAATGACAAAACATAGTTACAACATCATAGTAGTGATGC